GAAGAAATATGCGAGTGCTAGGGTAGCCCTAGTGCCAGGGTTACCCTCCCTCCTTGTAAACAGGGCCTAAGAGACAGAACTCATCGGAAATAAACGAAAAAGCTTGCAACTACAAAACGGTTTCCTTGGTGCTGCTCACTAGTCTTCGTTAAAAAAATTAAACAATTAAAAAAAATTAAATCAAATTAGAAAAATTATAAAATAATAAAAAAGAGAGTAACATCTTAAAGGTAATTGTTTTTTGCATGAGGAAACAGAAAGCAGTTACGGTTGTTGTTCAGTCAAAACAGTACTAAAACGCAAGTGATGAATTTTAATCTTTAGCTCTCTTTTATGCAACCTTTTCTTTTACTTTTTCCTGTAATGATATGCACATCATTAAGAGTCTATTGCATTTAGGACTTACATTTAAGATCGTTTATTGCATTTAGGGCTTCTATAGCTTTCTACGATCTACCTTTCGCTTCTACTCTTCTTTCAGAGCATCCTGTTATATATAAATTATATTCATACATGCTCGAGTTTGCTATCTTTCATATTATTTGCCGATGATACTAACCTCTTTATTTCTGCAAAGAAACTTGAAACGCTGGTAAATAGGGAAATGAAACGTGTACAAGTATTGCTCAATTGGTAATCGCGAAAGGCGAGGAGAGTCTCACGACTTCCGACTTCCAACTTCTGACTTGGCTATTACACCTTACATTCCTTACGTTACAAATTTCGGTCCGACCTCCGACTTCCGACTTCCGACTTCCGACTTCTGACTTCTGACTTTCGACTTCCAACTTCCAACTTCGGACTTCAGTCTTTTCACCACTTTCCATTTCACAGCTCAAAACTTTTAGCAAGTAAATGGAACTAGGCAGTAACAAGAGTTTGTTTACCACAATGAGTTAACTAAGATAGTCTGTTGGACAAGGTTTTCTTTTGGAATTGCACTGAAGTTTCGGTCAAACCACTAAATACGCGAAAGATAGTAAAAATAGGAATGTCCAGGAAAAGACAACTTGGTAAGGTCAAGCTTCTAAAGATTTAGGAAAAACCAATTAAGCCCATTAATGTAAGATAACAAACAAATGTCGTTAAATTTACCAGAACTAATTAGATTAATAACCTCTGTGTGGGCTCAGTTTAAACAAAAAGCATCATTTCTTAATTGAATAGCGGCACGTGTGCAAAGAGAAACCGATGTCCAAAAGAGCATCTTTACAGAGAACGGCAAACCTTATTAACGAAAGACGAATAGCTTTTGTAAGCCCAGTACATTTTAGTAGAACGTGTTTATATAACAATTCAAAACACTCTACTTAGTGATAATAATAATTAAAATATTTTAAAATAGCAATGCTTGATGATTCATTAACGTTCCTTATTCGATAAAGGTATTTTCATTTTGGTATTAACTTATACCCAAAAATATCGTTTTACAATTGATTTTCTTGGAAATCGAGCCAATCATGACGGCTAACTTGACACATCCTGCTATCGAAATATATTGAACATCAGGCGAATCGTTAGCATACCAAATAATACCATGTGCAGCCTCACAGAAACAGATCCCCTTATTGAAAGAGTCATCCGCTTACCTGACAATAAACCTGTCAGAGAATTTGTAATGTATCGGTTCCAACTCAGGGGAGGAGGAAACCCGGAAGACAGCGAACCTTGTTCACCAGTTGTATATTTATTGTCTTCTGGGGAATCCTGATATCCTGTTAAATGACAATCAGCTGTTGGAAATGGCTCAAGACCGCCATCGATGGAGGAAAAACTTTTGGTCGACTGCTCCTCAGCCGAAGGATGATGATGATGACCTTCAAAGTAAAAACTTCAAGGGGTGACAGGCCAAACGATCTTTATTGGTGTTAAACCTTAAATACCCTTCTACATATTGCTCTAACGAGAATATCACTTTGAAAAATGCTACTCTTTAAATTACAATTCTACCAACTCGGTTGATTTTGGGCATACGGCGTGGAAGATACACACATGGAGGACGACGAGTTGAAGGTATATTTGAAGTGAACCTTGCATTGTATTGATTTATTGTACACACAGCTACACATTGAACGGTCACTTTTGTTTTTCAGTGACATGTACATTCGCCAAAAGTTTCAATGAACAACCGAACAGCTAAAGTCGTCGTGTTGTACTTATTCACGGTCACGTGTATTGAAATTTGATGCGTGAGGTCTCTCGGTCGGATAAAGAGTTCAAGATTGCGATTATTTTTCGACGACGTTCCAGAGAAGATAGCCTTTTCAGGCCTTCTACTATCTGAACGCCTGGAACAGGCTACAGAAAAGTAAGGAATGGATTTGTGAAAGCAGATGTCAAGTAAGTGATCGTTTATTTGTTTTGCGGAATATTTTGACTTAAACCCGTACCCTTCCGCGACTACAGTTTATGCTCCGTCTGCATTTTGCACCAGGCCTGCGTTTTACCCTCAGTCTGCAGTCTGCATTTTACACCGGGTCTGCACTTTACCCCTGGTCCGCATAATTAGTACTCACTGACCTCACCAACACTTTGAGCTCTTAAGCTTTTTAGCTCATCCTGACAACGCATAATTCCTTACAAGCGGTAGAGTGATCAAACCAAAACTGTTTATGCCCCGGCCTACAGGTCTATGGGCTTGCTACGCCCCTCACTCGCGTACCTGGGACAACTTTCCTCCGTCATGCGTGACCAGTAATCTTGACAATTTGAACAGAATTAATAATCCAATTTCTGAGCTAAATTGTAAACATCAGAACAATATAAGGTATTCTCTGTATACGATGATAATATTTTCCCGTTTTTTCGTGAATTTAACGTGTTTTCCATAGAGAACTTCAAGTTTTATTTCAAATCTTGGACGTTACAAAGAATATCACGTATGACGAAACACGTCAGTAAAGCTGGTAAAAGTTGACCCAGGTGATAGGATAACCCTACCTATGAAATTTGCTTGTAAACCAGAGCTAACGTTAAACGCGCTCGCTAGATTAACCCTAGCCGGGAGCTGCGGTAACCCACTCTCCTTGTAACAGGCCCTAACACAAGCGCTGTAAATCGATGGGAAAACGGTAAAACTCCTGCGCCTTACCAGAGGGAGGGAGAAAGAGAAAAGTTTCTAAACGACATGAGATTACTATTAAAGGTAATATTTAATAAACTAAAGCTGCATGTTTAGTCCGTTTGAAGAGAAAAAGAACCTACCCGCGTCAAAACCAGCCTACGGGCCTGTTAAGAGGGTGCATTCAGTTTAAAATATATCCAGTTTTGATAGTTTTTTGGGCGGTATACTATTTACCACTCCTTTGGTAAAAGTATCATGACACTCACTGCGTCTTCCGAATGTTAGTTTGCTGTTCAATCGCTTTATGTGATTGTGATTTATAACGTTTATGAGATTTAAAAGTCCGAAGTCAGAAGTCGGAAGTCGGAAGTTGGAAGGCGGAAGTTGGAAGACCCTCCTCGGCTTTCGTAGTACTTGATGCCGGAAGTGGAGAAATTCCGAGAAATAACAAACTGAAACACCTTTCTTGTTGCGAGAGCTTGATACCTCCAGCAGACAGTCTTTGAAGCTTTTACTACACTGTTCAACGTTTCCTTAGGGCTTTAAAACCGATCGACATCATTTGAAGCGCTGTATAACAGTTTATAACGAACTACAACCTTAATTGTTATACCTCAATTGCAATTAACGACACGATTTCTATTGAGGTGTTCGCTGAAGCAGTACAAGGTAAGATCAAGTAGTATTATTTAGCGGATGATCACCTTTCTTCAGCCATTTTTGCTATAGCTGAAAGTCTCGTCAGTCACTGGAAACCTCCTTGATCTTCCTAGCTTAGCAACCGGCCACGATCGATAGATATAACCTGCGTTCGTGCAACGTTCAGACGCCGAACTTTTCATGAGCGGAACCTAATACTGTATTCAAATTGTCCTGTGTCATTAAATATTCAAGGTAGAAGACATCGACCCATTATTTCTAATACTACGACGCTGCATGAACGTCTGTGGTGTTTATCGTTCTCGATCGTCCTGAACTGATCTGAACTCACTAACTTTATTTCCGCCGGTTAATCGACATGCAATCCGGTACATTTTTCCACTCGCCGATCAAAGCATATTTCAAGTGAACGCTTGAGAAAACAATAATATAAATACACCTTATTCCCGTCAAATGCACTAGTTCCACTCACTTCAACATTAGACTACAAAGTGGCTCCGTGCCTGTCGACTTCTGTCTTCTGAACACTACCTCAATCCATAAATAAAGAACTCGCTCTCAAAGATTACGCGACCAAGAATGATATGGATATCAGTTTTCGCACTCACTGAAACGTGGCTAAACAATCATGACAATTTTTCTGCCGCTGAGCCTTCCAGTGGTTATCAATTCTACCATGTTTCACGAAAGAATTCTCGTGGTGGCGGGGTAGGTGTTCTGTTGAAGAAACGCATCCAAGCATTACATTGATATTTTAGCCAAATGCTCTACTGGTTGCGTGAGAATTGTTACTTTCTGCAGACCACAGCCATCAAGAGCAAACCACCTGAACAGTGCTTTATTTTTCGAGGAATTTTGCACTACCCATGGCACCAGAGAAAACCGTTGGCCCAACCTGCTAATAGTTGGTGGTTTACAGTGTAATTACCATATAGGTAACATTGTCAATTCAGATACTATAAAATTCAACAGGATTCTGGAATCGTTTAGCCTTAAACCTCCGTCACTGCAGACCTTGATCGTTCAGTCAATGTCGCTTTCACGCCTTTATATTTAATTGAGATTGAGGCTTAAAGTTTTTATTTTTATTTTATTTTATTAGCTTTGCCCTGAAGAATAGAAAAAAAACACTGTAGATATGCAAACACTAGTAATAAGAACGTAACAATACACTAACAATAACTTAAATATTAGGGCAGGGACACCGCAATAGCTAAAGCCAATTAATGTAATGTAATTAAAGTAATATTGTTTCTTTTTTATTCAGCATTTCTGAGAAGTTTTCTGTGAACTGAAGAGAGAAATTACAAGCATGCACATAGTGCAAAATTTTAGGCTTATTATTTGGTGTTGGTTCCTTCTCATCATGCTGTCTTTCGCTGCGGACAATGAGGATGCTGATGTCATCAAACACTGCATGAATTCCACCAATTCAACGTCTTGCAGTTTAACATATGAGCACGTCTACAAAAGCTTAACAAAGAATGAGAACAGTTTTAACATATCCCATGCCTTGTATCCTGAAGGAGGAAAGCCATCATTTCTTGTCAGAGTAAATGTTTATGGGCCCAATAAAACACACAACTCTACACCAGCACAGTTTCTCTGGAGTATACACTGTCTGTTTTCTAATGTTCCTGCGTTAATGCTTGAAGTGTTGTCTCTTGGCTCCATTATTGTGAGGTCTAGAACACAAGAGCTCAACATACAAATTCCTTCATTTTGTTGCAACTTATCAGAGAACATAGAGAAAAGAAAGGAAATGATACAAGGATTTCTTACAAGGGCGCTATTTGAAGTAAGTGCAGATTTTGTCTGAATAAGTAAATAAAGGTCGCCCTGTACTTCCGTGGGGGTGGTGGGGGTACTCCCGGGAATTCTCGGTGGGGCGTGCCGCCCGGTTCTCCAAATCTCCAAATCTCCAAAATTTCGCACTTACCCGGGGTTATCGACTGGGTTATCTTAACCCGGAACCCAGCTTCGAACAACCCGGCCCAGACCTCTAAAATCCATACCCGTTTTCAGACCTGGCCTTTAGGCAGAAATTATGTTATCATTAGTTAGATTAGAGCGCAAACAAAAAATTCTTCAAATCCGCAATTTCGAATCCGCACATTTCTCTTTCTTTCTCACTGATTTTGAATTGAACGATAAACCACGTTCATACACAACCTCGTTCCCAGGGTTCTCTCCTACCTGCCCAACGGAGCTCCGTAGGGCGGGTAGGAGAGAACCCTGGGAACGTGGTTGGTTCATACACTCCCGTAGTTCCCTCAAGAACCATACCCGATCCCAGACCAAAATGGGCAAAGTGTACCGGCGTTTTCATACCAAAACGGCGCAAAAACACCAAAAAACCCCGATGGGGCGGCACATACCTATACAGCTTATAGAAGGGAGTACCCCCAGGACTGTATTGCGAAAATTGCTTAACAGTTATTATTATTCATTCAAAACATTTCGCAGTTTTTTAATTAGCTAAAAGCAGGCGCATAATTTACCATAACCAGCTACTGTTGACCAAATTTGGAAGAATCTCCAATTAATCAACCGATGACGTCAAAAGTGCTGCACAGTTGCAGGTTAATGCACTGTTAATTAAAACCAAGAAGACCTGGGGACGAGGTTAAGTTTGGTTGTGAAAAGAAAAATGGCCGAACTGTCGGCGGAACATTTTACTCGTTTCAAGAAGAACTATTGTTTGAAAACATAGCAAGAAGACTACTCGATGGCCAACATCTGCTATTTGGAGTATATTTCCCGACCTGAACAGCTCTTTATTGTCTTCTATAAATGTATTATCGAGGTGAACTTAACATCGACGAAGGTAAGGGTTTTTAGTAAACCCTATAACGGCGTAGCGGGTAACGGCGTAAAGAGAAACAGCGTAACGAGTTTTTTTTTTTTTTTCTTCTCCAAACCAGCCAAACTATTGAGCAAGATAAAAATCCTATTTTAAATTGTTTTGTCCTAAAAAGATATCATTATCTTTCATCTTTGATGAGATGATAAAAGTGGTTACGTTTGCGAACGGGAAAGTAAAACTCTTTTTAACCTGGGGCAGCTAATCGAACGAAACCGAACCAAAAATTAATCGAACTCAATCGAACCCAGTCGGTCGGGTTGTTGTTCGATTGGTTCAGTAAACGAACACAATCGATCGAACCACAGGTAGCCCAAGCTCGAAATATGAGCGTCGACGAACATCGCCATTGTTGCGTAACATTCAAAATATAAGGATTTGTATGGAAAAAAAACTTATCGTTTCTGTAACCTACGAAAATGAAAGGATTTCAATAAAAACAGCTTACCTTACTTAAAATGTGTGTTACGTCTCTCCTGTGTGGTCCACGGGTCGATTTATGCCCGTTTTATGGGTTTTATGTAAACGGTTTTCTCTCTATATAAAGGTCAAGGTTGGGCACTCCAGCGAAGCGGCTCGACCGATCCACCGAAGGAAAACGGCCGTAAATTCGCTCCAACTGCTCCAATCGCCTCCAAATTCCGCCTAGGTAACACACAATAGTTCTCCTTTCCATTCGTTATCTTGCTTCAAGATGCCTTTGCACCGAGAGCGAATCAAAGGTCGCAAATCTCTGCAACCTTTCCCGTCTGAAGCCATGGACTGAGGCTCGGCTTGAACTCCGCGTTACCGTTGGAAGATAGCGACCCGGCCTGAGACTCAAATTACTCAACTCGGGGTGGGAGACAGTCTCTTGCTCCCGTTGACATCAATACCCGAGAAAGAAAACAACGGGAGCAAGAGAGCAGAATACTGCAATGCTGATCTTACTACGTGAAAATTAACTCTGCAAGAGATCAACACGACACCGAAAGAACTCAAAACAGATCGGATTGTAGCCATAGACAGCTGTTTCGCTCTCTTTGGGGCTCGTTTTATGTTCATTTAAAATATTTCTAGCTAGGTTTTTAATATCTTTACCTCCTCGTAGCGTTTCTTCGAAACATTTTCCTGTTAATCGGCACAGTTTCAGAATCATCATGCTCATGCTGACACTTGAACAGGTGTTGGTTCCTTGCAGATACTCCTCAAAATGAAGAACACATCCACCAAGCATACATACATTTTCAATATTCTTGCATTTGTTCCCTTCACTTTCTGTAATTCGGCTATTAAGTCCCGCTTGCGTTAGCTGCGAGACTCTAAAAATGCAACTGTTTCTTTTCTTTTTTTGTGTGTGCGCACCAAAAGGAAAATCATGGTACCAGGCGGTCCTAGCGGAGACTGTGGAAACTGGGGATGAGATTGGCGGCATGACGAAAGCCATAGTACATAGAAAGCTCGTTCAGGAAATATTAATGCGGTAGGACTTCTCCCAGGGTGGCGGGTGACGGATGTCGGGTGATGGGTGACAGGTGGTGGGCGACGGGTGGCGGGGATATTAATAATGAAAATTATGATAATCAATAAAAGTTAATAATAATATCCTTATTAATAATGAACACGAATCACTGTAACTTTTCTTTTTGTTAAATTACAGCTGCAAGATCTGGCTGTAAGTCCGGATATTCGAGATCCATCTTTGAACTCAGCTCAATGTGTTATACAGGGTCATAACACTACATTCAGTGACACCAAAGGACATAGTGTTAAAATGTTATGGGCATGTAATCTTTTTGTGATAAGCGCTGGCCTTATTGTCAGTTCGGCGATAATCGACATGAACAAATTTTTCAGATTAAGTGGCAGGAAGATTAAAAACTCAGGAAGTGCCATGTGTTTTTCGATTCACTACTTGTCAGCACTAGGCGAAGTATATATTATTGTTAATTTTGCATTTTCTTTGTACTCTCGTTCATCTGCTCCACCTTTTTTTTATGTTTCTTTTCTTTTCATATTTATATGGAGCGCGCTAGCATGTTTTTTGCATATGCCAATTCACAACATATCATTACCCCGTCATAATTATATAGGAGCCGGATTAACGATGCACTATGCATTTGGAGGAAAATCGATATGCTATATAAGTTGCTGGCTTGTAATTGGGATAAGAATCAATCCGTCTTGGGGTTTAACTGTTGCTCTCTTTGTCATCTCTATTTTCGCTTCATTTACTTACGCAGTGTATCTTGCAAGATCTGGCTATAACATGAGAGAGCGAGAAAATACACTTCAAGACTTTTTATTGGGAACTTATACATTGCCTGAGGATTCTTATCGTAATCCTCTCTCGAGTTCTGCCTCGAATGATGACAACAGTCAAAACAGTAATGATGAACCAAACCGAGTTATTGCGCTTTTTAAGTACTTTGCTCTTTTGGAACGCTTCATAGGCATCAGGGCTAAATTTCTTTGTATGCTTGGATGTATAGCTGTGGTGTTCTTTTTTCTCATGGTAATTCTAGCAGGGCCGTCAATAGCTGGACAGACTAGTGCTGCAGACGAACTCCTTAAAACCTCCTCTTTGTATTTTATTACTGCATTTATAACTTGGGCTACTTTGAAGACGCACGCTTCTATCGATGCTCCCCTCCAAGATGAAAGACCCCAAAATGCTGAAGAAAAGGACACTGTTGCTGTTATCATGTGGGAAACAAGCGTGTAGAAATACAAGTTCTTTGTTAGAAAAAGCACGCAAATTCTGGCCAATGATTACGATTAACGTTCGACTCCTTTGAACATGAAGTATATTTTAGAGTAATAAATATGCTGAGCGTGCCGCCCGGTTCTCCAAATCTCCAAATCTCCAAAATTTCGCACTTACCCGGGGTTATCGACTGGGTTATCTTAACCCGGAACCCAGCTTCGAACAACCCGGCCCAGACCTCTAAAATCCATACCCGTCTTCAGACCTGGCCTTTAGGCAGAAATTATGTTATTATTAGTTAGATTAGAGCGCAAACAAAAAATTCTTCAAATCCGCGATTTCGAATTCGCACATTTCTATTTCTTTCTTACTGGTTTTGAATTGAACGATAAACCACGTTCATACACAACCTCGTTCCCAGGGTTCTCTCCTACCCGCCCTACGGAGCTCCGTAGGGCGGGTAGGAGAGAGCCCTGGGAACGAGGTTGGTGCATACACTCCCGTAGTTCCCTCAAGAACCATACCCGATCCCAGACCAAAATGGGCAAAGTGTACCGGCGTTTTCATACCAAAACGGCGCAAAAACACTAAAAGACCCGATGGGGCGGCAAATACCTATACAGCTTATAAAAGGGAGTACCCCCAGGACTGTACTGCGAAAATTGCTTAACAGTTATTGTTATTCATTCAAAACATTTCGCAGTTTCTAATTAGCTAAAAGCACGCACATAATTCACCATAACCAGCTTCTGTTGACCAAATTTGGAAGAATTTCCAATTAATCAACCGATGACGTCAAAAGTGCTGCACAGTTGCAGGTTAATGCACTGTTAATTAAAACCAAGAAGACCTGGGGACGAGGTTAAGTTTGGTTGTGAAAAGAAAAATGGCCGAACAGTAGGCGGAACATTTTACTCGTTTCAAGACGAACTATTGTTTGAAAACATAGCAAGAAGACAACTCGATGGAAAACATCTGCTATTTGGAGTACATTTCCCGACCTGAACAGCCCTTTATTATCTTCTATACATGCACTATCGAGGTGAACTTAACATCGACGAAGGTAAGGGTTGTTAGTAAACCCTATAATGGCGTAACGAGTAACGGCGTAACGAGAAACAGCGTAACGAGTTTTTTTTTCTTTTTTCTCTGAAGCCCGATTTTTCTAAACCAGCCAAACTATTGAGCAAGATAAAAATCTTATCTTACATTGTTTTGTCCGAAAAAGATATCATCATCTTTCATCTTTGATGAGATGATAAAAACGTTTACGTTTGCGAACGGGAAAGTAAATAGCTGAGCGTAACTGGAGGTGTAACTGGAGACACCTTGGTGTCACACTGGACTCTAACTTAACATATAATGAGCATATTGTTTCTACTGTATCCTCATGCATGTCACGTTTGGGTCAAATTAACCGCGTTAAGCATATTTTTAATAAACACGCGCTAACTATTATTATAAATGCCTTAGTTTTTAGTAAATTATTCTATTGCTCTTCTGTTTGGAGCAATACTACTCAAACTAATCTGGACAAGCTCCAAGCAGTACAGAATTTCGCTTGTCGTATTTTGAGCGGCGCTAAAAAATTCGATCACATAACTCCTTTGCTAAAAGACTTGCGCTGGCTACCAATCAGGCAACAACTTTATTTTCGTTTTGCTGTTCTGGTTTTTAAGTGCATGACGAGTTGTGCTCCGGAGTATTTGACATCAAAGCTCGTTGGAAGATCCGCCGTCTCGACAAGGAATACGAGAAATTCTCAACTTTTGAACATACCACTCTTCCGCACTGCCAGCGGCCAAAGGACCTTTCAATATAGAGCAACCTCTCTCTGGAATGAGTTGCAGCCTGCGCTCAAAC